GAAGCTGATGGACCACTGATCTCTCCCCTGTACTCTGATGAAGCTGATGGACCACTGATCTCTCCCCTGTACTCTGATGAAGCTGATGGACCACTGATGTCTCCCCATCCTTTGATGAAGCTGGTGGACCTTTAATGTCTCACTCATCCTACAATAACACTGATGGACCTCTGATGTCTCCCCTGTCCTCCAATGAAGCTGGCGGACCGTGAATGTCTCACTCATCCTACAATAACACAGATGGACCTCTGATGTCTCCTGTCCTCCAATGAAACTGATGGGCCTCTGACATCTCCCCTGTTCTCTAATAAAGCTGATGGACCTCTAATGTCTCCCCTGTCATCTGATGAAGCTGATGGACCTCTAATGTCTCCCCTGTCCTCCAATGAAGCTGATGGACCTCTAATGTCTCCCCTGTCCTCTGATGAAGCTGATGGTCCTCTGATGTCTTCACATCCTCTGAGATCCACCAGTGAATCTTCACTGAAGGAAGGGGGATCCAGGAGTGAACATTCACTGAAGGAAGCGGAGATCCAGAAGCAAATGCTCACTTCGGGAGGGGGAAATCCAGGAGTAAATGTTCACCATGGGATGTTCAATGAAGGAAGGGGGATCCAGGAGAGAATGTTCACTAATCTCCCTCCCCTCTAACTGGCATCACCCCCTGTGCCGATCCTAGGTGTGCTGATGGGCCCATGGCATGGGTGTGTAGGGGGACCCACTTTTACCAGGATGTGTGAGGAAAACCCCCATCACTGGACTGTGCAGGGGGACCTACCATTACTTATGTGAGTAGAGGAACCATTACTAGAGTGTGTGTGAGGGACCCACCATTACCAGGGTGTGTTCGGGGGGCTTGCCATTACTGGGGTGCGTGGAGAGACCCACCATAACAAAGGAATGCAGGGGAGTCAACCATTACTGGGCTGTGGGGGGGACCCTTTTAAACAGAGGAGTGTGGGGGAGCCAACCATTACTGGGGTGTGTGAGGGGTCCCACCATTTTTGAATAAGATAACACTGTGTGGGACCCCCAAACATTAGTTCATTTTTAAAGTGGAGTTCCCCTTCATCTTCATACTTCTCCTAATGCTGGATGAGGGTCTGGTATGAATATTAAAGGGGAAACCCACACTTTTATTTAGTTTTGAAGCAGAGTTTTCCATTATATTGATGTTAGACAGCACAGTTGAGCTGCACTTTTACTGCCCCCTATATCTGCAGAGGCAGTGAGCAGTGTGTACACATATCACAGCAGTGATGGTTGTTTTTGCAGTCACAGCAGGAATTATCCCTGAGGTGTCACTTTTGGTGGGTGTATCTCCTGCTGAATGTTACCCATTGAAGTGAATGAGGCAGCTCTGTGACTGCCCAGCAGGTGCATGCAATGCATGTGGTTGCAGCACACTAGTGCGGGGTTCAAGTCAGTGGTGAGAAGGTGATACAACTCCACCCCACCCACCACATGATCTCTGAGGAATGATCTGAAAACAGAGCACCCTTCACAGAGGAAAGCACACTTGTCTAAAAATAAGGAATTCATTCATAATTAGTGTGATACCGGTCGGCGGTGTGCTGAGGAGCATGACACAGGAGGGCTCAGGGAGGGCTTATCAAGGTGCGATCCTCCCATAGGAACAGGCAGGACATAGGAGGGCTGAGCTATATGAAGGTGGGACTTGGGAGAGTAGGGCTCTCTGGGTGTGGAACTTGGGAAGTTAGGGCACTATGGGTGTGGAACTTGGGAAGTCAGGGCTCTGTAGGGGTGGGACTTGGGAGAGCAGGGCTCTATGGGAGTGGGACTTGGGAAGTCAGAGCGCTATGGGTGTGGAACTTGGGAAGTCAGGGCTCTGTGGGGGTGGGACTTGGGAGAGCAGGGCTCTATGGGAGTGGACTTGGGAAGTCAGAGCGCTATGGGTGTGGAACTTGGGAAGTCAGGGCTCTGTGGGGGTGGGACTTGGGAGAGCAGGGCTCTGTGGGGGTGGAACTTGGGAAGTCAGGGCTCTGTGGGGGTGTTACTGGGAAGACAGGGAATTCTGGGTGTGGAACTTGGGAAGTCAGGGAACTATGGGTGTGGAACTTGGGAAGTTAGGGCCTTGTGGGGGGAGGGATTTGGGAAGTCAGGGCTCTGTGGGGGGGTGGGACTTGGGAAGTCAGGGCTCTGTGGGGGGGTGGGACTTGGGAAGTCAGGGCTCTGTGGGGGGGTGGGACTTGGGAAGTCAGGGCACTGTGGGGGTGGGACTTGGGAGAGCAGGGCTCTGTGAAGGTTGAATTTGGGAGAATAAGACTCTGTGGGGGCAGGACTTTGTGAGCAGTACTCTGATTATGATTAGATTTACTATTCCATTCATTTTCTGCTCATATTAAACTGGAATTCATATTTAAAGACGTGAAGTATGGAGCAGAGAAATGAATAGACCTCCCAGCAATGTTATTACCAGGCTGCTGCTAGGGGGAGCTCTAATGTCACCCCAGCAGAGGGATCCCATCTAGCCCACATTAACCCTCTCACTGCCAGAGCTGGTTTTGCAGTGTGTAGGAGTCTGGCATGCGTTTTGTTGCGGTGGGGGAGGGGTTATGAATTGTTTCCATTCTCACTGTAGAATGTGCTGCAACAAAAGTGACATGAAGGCTCCTCCCACACTGATCCGCGGGACACGTATGACTTTTTGCTGCATTTCTGCCATGTTTTTACCGTGTTTGCATTGCACTTCTTAAAGATCACGTGACTCAAAATCCGCACCAAACCCTCACCGTGGGGGCATTGTTGGTTTGTTCTGCGGCGTTTTCCATTGATTTCAATGGGGAGGGGCGTTCTTGGAGCGTTTTCTTTAGCACCCCAAACCTGCACTAAAGATGTGACAAGCAGGACTTTGAAAAATGCAGCGGCCCCGCATCGGCTGAGTGTGAAGAGTTCCAGGAATACACGGTCACATGATGTTCTTCTACTAACACATCCCTGGGAGAACACCGGATGGGGTGACAGCAGAGTGACCGATAATGACACACATTGAGCTGCCGATAAAACTTCATTTCCAGAGTCCCCCCACAATACAGGAGGGGGCGCTATGTACTGTGGGGTCTGGGGGAAGGAATCCGGGAGGGAAATGTCATCTGCAGAACATTTCATACTCTGCTCTAGATTTATAAATGTCAGCGACGTGCGATGATTGACCCCCCTTACCCAGATAATGGGGACTTGTAATCTGACAGATTCACACAGGAATTGTTCATTGCTGAAAAAGCCCCGAGAAACCTTTGGAGGAACTCTGACTGAGGAAGGCTGGACTAGGCAGTCATATATTTCTGTCCCCCTTGGTGGGAGTGGAGGTGACCCCTCTATAAGGATCTACAGTCCATACACACCCAGCACAAGGCCGGGGTCACACTACCAGACGCTTCTCGGGGCTGCAGTTCCTCTGAGCTCCACAAGGTGGGGATCTCACTTCTACCCAGACAGGAAGTCTCTATGGAAAACAGGAAGTGATGTCAGGTACAGACAGGAAGTGATGTCAGGTATAGACAGGAACTATAGAGATGTTGGTGGAAATGGCAGCAGAGGAGGTAATAAGATGTTATGTTCTATTTACACCCAGTAACCCCCCATCATGTCTGTCCTCTTCCTCCAAAGTCATGTCTGTCCTCTTCCTCCATAGTCACTGTGACATCTTTTATCGCCAGCAGATGATGATAAACACATATATAGTGTGGGAACTCAGATTAACCCCTTCAGGGGCAGAACATTCCCCCACTTCCGGGGCCGGAACATTCTCCTTATTGTGGAGAGTTCTAACCTTCTCACCCCATCAGTCTATACTAATGGATTTTATTAGCTGTGGAGGATGGAGAATCCTATGACATCACACTGACTTCACAGCTCCTCCTCCCAATGTCCCTCCATCCAGAGATAGAGAATCTTATGACATCACACTGACCTCACAGCTCCTCCCCCCAAATGTCCCTCCATCCAGAGTCAGAGAATCCTATGACATCACACTGACCTCACAGCTCCTCCTCCCAATGTCCCTCCATCCAGAGTCAGCGAATTCTATGACATCACACTGACCTCACAGCTCCTCCTCCCAATGTCCCTCCATCCAGAGTCAGAGAATCCTATGACATCACACTGACCTCACAGCTCCTCCTCCCAATGTCCCTCCATCTTGCTTTTTTTCTGATGCTCTTAGGATGTGGGGCCCCTTGGTATCCTCACATGTAAAGTGGGACTGTTGGTCCTGCGTTGTATGTAATGACATCAGAATGCTGCAACAAGCCTATACCCTGCGTAGTGTGGGGGTCCTGTGGGGGGAAATTATACCTCAGCCTGAAGTGGGGCTTTAATAAAATGGAGACCTGAATGGAGAGGTGAGGAGGATTCTGGGAATATCATTTGATGTGACTATTTGTGTTCAGATGTAGAGTTTTCCTCCTGTGAAGTCTGGAGATCATATGACATCACATTGCCTCCACCTCCCTCCCTGATAGAAGAGAGAAAGAAGAAGAAGATTCTAGAAGTCACCAGAGAGATCACTGAGCTGCTGACAGGAGAGGTGAGCGGTGCCGGGAATTCTGGGACATTCTCCAGTAACAGACAAGGGATGTGTCTGGATGGTGACTGTATCATTGTGTGTGTCAGGTTCCTATAAGGTGTCAGGGTGTCACTGTCTATTTCTCCATGGAGGAGTGGGAGTATTTAGAAGGACACAAGGATCTCTACAAGGACGTCATGATGGACAATCAGCCGCCCCTCACATCACCGGGTAAGAGGAGACTTTATTGTAAAGGAGAGAGCAGTACGGAGGATCCACCTAGATCCCCCATCATCTGATAAACACATAGAAACAATGGATTCAGTCAGTGTGTGTGTTTCCTACAGATGGATCCAGTCATGGGAACCCACCAGAGAGATGTCCCCGTCCTCTGTATTCCCGGGATTCCACACAGGAAGGTCACACCATCCCTCACCATCATCAGGTAGATGGATCCAGTCATGGGAACCCACCAGAGAGATGTCCCCGTCCTCTGTATTCCCGGGATTCCACACAGGAAGGTCACACCATCCCTCACCATCATCAGGTAGATGAGGAACAATCACTGATAGTATCATTAGGATCTGTACATTATCTGCATTGTTACCATTGATGTCATTTTTATTATATATTCAGAGTGGAAACCTGAGAGATCCTAAAGTTGATATCGAAGAGATAAAAGAGGAGGAGGATGGGGGGATGGAGGAGTCAGAGCTTCTAAAGGGACACAAAGATCTGTACCAGAACACCATGGTGGAGTCATCCAGCTACAGGAACCCACCAGAGAGATGTCCTCTGTATTCCCCAAGATTCCACACAGGAAGGTCACACCATCCCTCACCATCATCAGGTAGATGATGACAATTATTGGTAGTTGTGATTTATACACAGCATGTTTGTTACAATGAATGTTTTATTATATCTTTCAGAGTGGAATCCTCGGGGATGAGAATATTGATGTTAAAGAAGAGTATAAAGAGGAGGATGAGCAGTATGGAGTGATGGAGGAGTTTTCTGAAGGACACAAGGATATGATGGAGCCACCTAATACCAGGAACCCACCAGAGAGATGTCCCCGTCCTCTGTATTCCTGGGATTCCACACAGGAAGGTCACACCATCCCTCACCATTACAAGGTTGGTGGGATGGAGTATCTAGAACATGAACTGTGGAGATGATGTGTGGATTGTTTTATGTGAAGTCATAAAATTGAAGCTTATGTCTTACAGATGATATTTTCTCTCATTCTCTTTGTTTAGGGTGAAGATCTGATAGATATAAAAGTTGAGGTGAAAGCAGAAGAAGAAGAGGCGTATGTGAGGGATGATCAGCAGTCTATGGAGGAGGATGGAATAACGGGGACATTTATAGAGGAGGACACTCCTACAGAGATCAGCACAGGTGGGTCATGAACACTAAATCCATTCCTCCACCCATACTGCTCACTGATTGGTCCAGAGTAGGGCGGGGACTGGGTGATATCAGTCTGTAATACCCTGGTCACTTTCCTGAGCTGTGTTCCCCGTCCTGTCTGATGTGGGTGAAGTCCTGGTTTGGGGGAACCAATCAGCTCCTGTCTAGTAATCCTAGAGGCTAGCCTGCAGTCCCCTCCAAAAGCCCCTGTCCCCAGTTGGGTCTGTCACTGTGGGAACTTACGTTTCTGCTATGCTCGGGTGTGAATGGAATGTGCTTGGGGCTTTATAATCCCTTTGCCGTTTGCTTTGAAGTAGCATCATGTTTCCAGGAAGTCATGTACAAAGTCATGATGGAAGTCACCCTAGTGTAAACCAGGGATGAGGGGGGAATTGTAAGCTCCTCAGAGACCAAGCTGCCTGATGTGGGTGGAGTCCTGGTTTAGGGAACCAATCAGCTCCTGTCTAGTAATCCTCTTTGTCTTTGTATTTTAGTCCATGGCCGGGAGATGAGGAAAACCTCCGAGGATTGTCTCACTTTGTCTCCAGACTGGAAAGTAGAAGATGAGGACATCACACAGTATAGTCCAGGAGAAAACCCGGCTCCCTCCAATGTCCATCCGGCACCACCCAGTGTAGATGGACCATCGGATTCCTTGTATCCTGAGGAACCTCAGACTGTGCGGGACCGGGCTTGCCTTCCAAGAGAGAAGAGCTTCTCCTGTACTGAGTGTGGGAAATGTTTTTCACGAAAGACCAATCTGTACACACATCAGAGGTCTCACACAGGGGAGAAGATGTATTCCTGTCCAGAGTGCGGGAAATGTTTTTCAGGCAAGTCCAGTCTTTACACACATAAGAGATGTCACACAGGGGAGAAGCCGTTTTCCTGTCCAGAGTGCGGGAAATGTTTTTCACAGAAGTCCAATCTTTACACACATCAGAGATTGCACATAGGGAAGAAGCCGTATTCCTGTCCAGAGTGCGGGAAATGTTTTTCAAGGAAGTCCAATCTTTACATACATCAGAAATCTCACACAGGAGAGAAGTTGTATTCCTGTTCTGAGTGCGGGAAATGTTTTTCACGAAAGTCCAATCTGTACACACATCAGAGGTCTCACACAGGGGAGAAGATGCATTCCTGTCCAGAGTGCGGGAAATGTTTTTCAGGCAAGTCCAGTCTTTACACACATAAGAGATGTCACACAGGGGAGAAGCCGTTTTCCTGTCCAGAGTGCGGGAAATGTTTTTCTCAGAAGTCCAATCTTTACACACATCAGAGACTGCACATAGGGGAGAAGCCGTATTCCTGTCCAGAGTGCGGGAAATGTTTTTCTCAGAAGTCCAATCTTTACACACATCAAAGATGTCACACAGGAGAGAAGCCGTATTCCTGTCCAGAGTGTGGGAAATGTTTTTCAGATAAGTCCAGTCTTTACACACATCGAAGATGTCACACAGGGGAGAAGCTGTTTTCCTGTCCTGAGTGGGGGAAATGTTTTTCACAGATGTCCACTTTTTACTCACATCAGATGTCTCACACAGGGGAGAAGCAATATTCCTGTTCTGAGTGCGGAAAATGTTTTGCAAAGAAGTCTAATCTTTGCATACATCAGAGATGTCACACGGGGGAGAAGCCGTATTCCTGTCCTGAGTGCGGAAAATGTTTTTCACAGACATCCAATCTTTACACACATCAGAGATGCCACACGGGGGAGAAGCCGTATCCTTGTCCTGAGTGTGGGAAATGTTTTTCACAGAAGTCCATTCTTTACACACATCAAAGATCTCACATGGGGGAGAAGCCGTATTCCTGTCCCGAGTGTGGGAAATGTTTTTCACGGAAGTCCCATCTTTCTAGACATCAGAGATCTCACATGGGGAAAAGCCACTTTCCTGTCCTGAATGAGGGAAATGTTCCTCACTGAAGTCCTATCTTCCTTTAGATCGGGGGTCCCACACAACTTTGGTGGTGTATTAGTGTCTTGAGTGTGGAAAATGTCTTCTAGATGAATGTTGCTGGACATCCCAGCTCTCATGTGGGGAAGAAGCACACCCTGATATACACCTCAGATATACTCCATGGCTGATCTTCATCATGGAAGAAACAGTTGATAAGGAGATGAGAGGCCCCCAAAGACATGGATGAAGTGCAGTAAATGTCGGGGTGCAGAGTGGTCAGTAGATCCTGGAAATGAAGGACACAACTGTCGCAAAAGCGCGCATCAGAGATGGATGTAGTTTAACCATTTTGGTTTCAACCTCCATCTTGGCGAAGGAACTAACCATCCTGAAATATATTTTCCCTCATCCTCCCCCCTTTCCTCTCTGTTCAGCCACAGCGACATCTGGTTGTGGGTCACTGGCAGGCTAGAGCAGCAGGGGGCCCAGAGCTACAAAGCCCCCCCAAGAGAGACAGAGCCCATCTGCCCAAAAACCTGTGTAATCTCTCACCTCGTAACAGAGATAAGGCAGCTTTTCCAGGACTTGAAAGAGGTTTTAACCTCATAAAACCTAGCAGCGTAGGTGACAGAATTAAATGAACATTCCTCAAATCAGTTTTTATCCTATGTCTCATATCTTGGAATATGAGAGACATACATAAAAGCCAGACATATCAACGGATGGCGATGAGCAGGCAAATTGTTTAGTAGGTCACTCCACTTGTTTCGCACGCTCAGGGAAGCAAAAACATAGATCTCGTGAACCTTGCAGCATATAATTTCATACTTCATATCTAAATAATCTTCAGACTTGTCTGTGTAATAATATGCCTGCGAGGGGACTACCGCTCGTGCAGCTGAGAAGTTATAGACCAGAATATGAATTAAGATGTTGGTTCTAAATTAGGGTTCTGCCCGATGAACCCTCCCTAAACAGAGTATTGGTCAGTTACTTAGAGCCACCCCCCTGCTGGGACATTTTAAAAACAGGCTAGCAGGCCTCAGTGAGTTAAGTTAAAGACATCTCCTATCTTTCCATCGTAACATATGGAGATCAAATCTCGCTTCTGCTCTGCAACTTGGATATGCTGACCCAGGTCTTTGGCAAGTACTTTAACTTTTCCCTTTTTCTATTATATCTCTTTGCTGTGCTATGGTTCTTTGTGTGTGTGTGTATATATATATATATATCTTAGTTACATCTTTTTTTCTGTAAATATTTTTATTGCACCTGTTTGACCTTTTAGTAATAAATCTCTTCCTTTCTGAAAGTGTTGAACTGTTTCTATAGCTTTTAATTGCAATTTACGAATCCCTGCCTTTTTGAAGAGATGCTACTGTTGGTTTAAACCTCAGTATAACCGGCCTGCGGACCGTTTTATACAGACGATTATTTCAATCATTATAGTGTTATACTGATAACGCAAGTTTCCTCCTGTACAAAAGGAGGTGGTGGCAGTGAATGGTTAATTGCGTGATTAACCTGACTCAGTAACAAGCGCATTCAGGCTGCAGGCACAGATTGTAGTCCATCAGCTGGAAAATCGCTGTGCAGGGTACAGCTGGGTGCGGCATTGTTATGCACGTCACATCGCGGTTTGGATTGGCCAGTCCTTCGGTCACGAGTTTGGTGAGAAGGTCTGGGGTCTGACGCCGCGATCGGGACATACTGGACGTCGCGATCATGAGATTGTCGCATGTTGGTGGCGGTGATCTTGCGATCCGTGACAACGTCAGCCCTTCTTGGGTGTCGGAGTTGCGTTTCCTGATACTGATATAGCGGGTTACAGAGCTAGAAGCCGGGAGAGCCCAGATCTCGTTATCGGGGAACTTTACACAGACAACAAGAACTTCTGAAGTTGATGTCCTTCATTTCAAGGCTCTACAGAACAGTGGTGACCCCGAAGCGTCTCTCTGTCTTCAGTCCATCCTTCTCCCATCCCCCAACAGGAGGGAAGGAGAACTCCGCCCCAAACTAGGGGGGAACTTTCCTCTCATTATTTCCCTTGGCTTCTGTGTGGGTTTGGGTGGTTGGAGGAGTGCGGCACGAGAGGGAACACAGCTTGTTGTTCTATGTCTACATATGGGGTCTGGGTAGAGGGGATCCACCGGAAAATATTTCTACTCTTTGATTTTGTGCAAATCGCTTCTGTTTTCACTTTGAAGGGCGATATTATGTGTGGTTTGTAAAAGGGATTGGCCCAATAGATACCACCCCACTTAGAGAATAGATGAACTAATATGACCAGCATTCATCCAGCCATGTCACATGGTGGGATCTTTTCTACAATACTTTGTTATAATAATGGAACACGTTGTGTATTGTATTGTACACCAATAATAATGACTCCGCCCCCACATTCCAGACAAGGGATCTTCCTGACCAATCGGATTCCTTCCTTTGTTATTTCCTGATTCTATGATCACAATCTTGTTAGAAGTAAATCTATAATAAAGAATTTGAGTGAAAAGAATTGTGTGTGTCGGGGCCACGATGGGGATCTTTGGGGGCCAAACATTTCTCACAGGAGACACTTTACAAGCCAGTTTCTGGTTCACCATGAATAATGGCCCAGAGTGCAGGGGTCAGGAGACTACTTCATACAGCCCTGCAAACAACGTGCAGTGGTCAGGAGTATGTGATTTCATCCCGAGTACACAGAGTGTAGTGGTCAGGAGTATGTGATTTCCATCCCGGAGTACAGAGTGTAGTGGTCAGGAGTATGTGATTTCCATCCCGGAGTACAGAGTGTAGTGGTCAGGAGTATGTGATTTCCATCCCAGAATACAGAATGTAGTGGTCAGGAGTATATGATATACAGTCCTCATACAGAGTGAAGTCAGATGTAGTATGTCATGTACAGCACACAGTGGGTAAGATCATGTTTTATACAGCCTCAGCAAAAAGAGTGCAGTGGTTAGGAACATGTCACATACAGCCCATCATACAGAGTGCAGTGGTCAGGAGCATATCATATACAGCTCTGTACAGAGTGTAGTGGTCAGGAGTATATCTTAGGCCTGTGTACAGAGCACAGTGGTCAGGAACATGTCATATACAGCTCTGTGTAGAGTGCAGTGGTAAGGAGTATATCATATACATACCTGTGTACAGAGTGCAGTGGTCATCAAAATATCATACACAGCCCTGTGTATAGAGTCCAATGGTCAGGTTTATATCTTAGGCCTGTGTACAGAGTGCAGCAGTCAGGAATATATCATATACATCCTTGTGTACAGAGCGCAGTGGTCAGGATTATATCTTAGGCCTGTGTACAGAGTGCAGTGGTCAGGATTATATCTTAGGCCTGTGTACAGAGTGCAGTGGTCAGAGTATATCTTAGGCCTGTGTACAGAGCGCAGTGGTCAGGATTATATCTTAGGCCTGTGTGCAGTGGTCAGGAGTATATCATATACAGCTTTGTGTACAGAGTGCAGCAGTCAGGAATATATCATATACAGCCCTGTGTACAGAGTGCAGTGGTCAGGATTATATCTTAGGCCTGTGTACAGAGCGCAGTGGTCAGGAGTATATAATATACAGTCCTGTGTACAGAGCGCAGTGGTCAGGAGTATGTCATATACTGCCCAGCAAGCATAGTACAATGGTCAGGATTTTGTGGTATACAGCCCGGCATACAGAGTACACTGGTGAAGAATATAAACCCTTGTAAGGAATGCAGGTATCCAGTGACAGCGGGGAGGACCAGATCGGTGGGCTATGCCTAAGAAATGTGGAATAAGATGGAGTAGGAGGAGTGTGATTACAGGGGGTGTAAAGTCAGGAGGTTTGTTACCTCCATGCATTATATACATGAAGGTAAATAAATACCCTTCTCTGTGCAGCAGCCCCCCCAAAACTCACCTGAGCCCCATCCCAATCCAGCAATGTGCACAAGATCTTTGGCAGTCTGAGGACTCTCCCTCCTCATTGGCTGAGACAGGAGCAGGAGCCATTGGCTCCTGCTGCTGTCAATCACAGCAAGTGAGCCAATGAGGATGGAGAGGGGACTCTGTGGACACAGCAGTAGCAGGCTCGCTCCCGAGCCTGCTTGGATGCCCCATAAGCTGCTTGCTGTGGGGGCACTCAACAGGAGGGAGGGGCCAGGAGGACCCAAGAAGAGAAGGATCCAGGCTGCTCTGTGCAAACCCATCACACACAGCAGTAAGTACGAGATGTTTGTTTTAAAAGAAAAAAAATGTTGCCTTTACAATCATTTTAAGTGGAGTTTACTAATGGACACGACACCCTCCGACACCCACAGATCATAAACAAAGCAAAAGTGACAAATAAATGTGACAGCAAATAACCAACCCAACAACCTGACTATAATACACTGTGTACAAATGGAGGGAAACTGACATACACCGGGCAGACCCGGGACTGGGACTGGGAATCAGGGGAGTAGAGATGGGGGAACAGGTTGCAGGAAACCAGAATCAGGGGAAAGTATACAAGATACAGGATGCAGGATCCAGCAGG